CGCATCTATTCCAGCCCTTTTGTTCTATGATATGATGGCAATTTAGGAAGGCAAATAACATTTAGAGTCCTGAAGCAAATAATTATGTTCCCTTCATTCCAGGGTACTATTGATTTTAGGAAAGAAGGAAAAGCTTCATTAAATATATTATTTAATGAAATATACATGCTGAATTCACACTTGTTAAACAATTGTTAAATATGTAACTTGGGGTAGAGTTGTAGTAGAAAGGAATTCAAGATCAGGGCACCTGTCTCCCGAGCCAGCTCACTCTACCCCAAGCCTCAGTGGTTCTCAGACTGAACTTTAAAGATAGGTCTTAAAGTCGCCCTGCTTGGTCTGAAAGTATATTGCCACCCTCTCAACTCCCACCTTGGCCATGTGTCCTTCTGCTCCCTGTTCCATTTGACACGATAGTTTTTGTGGTGGGCAGGAGATTGCAAACAGAGCTTCACACCTGGTTTTACTTTAAGACCTTCATTCCCATGGCCAGCCTCCCTTAGCAGCTGCTGCACCCAACCCCACACCACCCGCTCCTGATTCCAGGGTATTTCAATCTCCTTCCAAAAATCCAGAGTCTAGCCCAATGGTTCCAAACATGGTTATTCTTGGTGTCCTATCCCTTGGAAAATCTGATTCCATATACCTGCAGTGAGAGACCTGGGCCATCTGTATTTTAATTCTTCTGGTGATTTTAATGCAGCTGTCCACTTGATCAGTATTATGCAATCAACACCTAATATTTTAGCGCTTTTTAAATTTATTGTGTATATGAACCTCCTGAGGACCTTGTTAAAAGGCAGATTCTGATCCAGAAGGTCTAGGGTGGGCCCTGGAGTCTGCATTTTTAACAAGGGAAGCTTCATTTCTCTTATTTGGCTTAGAAAGCAATTTGGAATGTTTCTCTCTTTGCTATATTTGTGGCAGAAAACCTATCTCACTGACATTAGAACCAGGTTTTAATATTTTATACCCCTGAAAACTACCTACATATTTGGAGAGAAAAGGTATTACCCATGGAGCTGGGAGAAGGGCTTGTGTGCTTGCCTACCCTGCTGTTTCCTTCACCGAACACCATCAGATGGCCTTCATCATCGTGGCTGGGATCTGCCTCTGCCTGTACTTCCTGTTTCTGTGCTTCATGGTATTTCAGGTGTTTCGGAACATCAATGGGAAGCAGTCCAGCCTGCCAGCCATGAGCAAAGTCCGGCGGCTGCACTATGAGGTGAGCAGGTCTCTTGGCTCATTCAGGAAACAGTACTCAGTATCCCCTGCTTGCTGTATAAACACACACACACACACACACACACACACACACACACACACACCCCACCCCACCCCACCCTACACCTGGAGATTGGAAGCCTTTATTTCAAATACACATACACATTGAGAGATTTATGTGTACTAGAGGATCTCTGGGAAAAATAAGAGGCTAAATCCTACGCCGAGAGGCATGTAGCTGGACTATCTAAATTTTGGAGTTTTCTGAGGGTATAAAGGTATTTCTGTCCCCAGTGAGGAGTAAACTTGTCCCACAGGTTCTTCGGCTTTGAGGTGGAATGTAGGTACATGCTCAGTGGGAGATTTGAGTTTGATAGACTTGGGATTTGGCTTGGGGTGAGGCATTAGTTAAGGTTCCCTGGCTGAGAATCAGCCTTAAGACTGGGTGGGGTTCAGCCCAGGCGATCTGATTTGCAGACTCAAGGAAGCCACAGTTCCCCCTGAAATATCCAGCAGGTGCTCAGATAGAGTTCAGTGATCTCTGTTTATAGATTATGTGCCTCATTCAAGAGAAACACTCAAATCTCTAATGTGAGTAACACGTTCTTGATTTCTCAAGGATCCCTTTGGGCTCACGCCCAAGTGGCTGAGCTTAGAGACATGGACCTAATTCCTCTCTGAAGAGAGAAACAGAAACGGCAGAACCACAGGGTTCCCATATGCAGTAGATCTGCAGAGGCGTCCCTTCCCAAAACACAGGTTCCCTTCAACCCTGCTCTCAGAAACCAGGGGCACTTCTAAAGCTTTGCCTGTCTCTAGAGCTAGAGTGACACATGAAAAAACTCAACCGAGTCCACTTGATGTTGATTAATATGCACGTTTCTTTTTGTTCACTGGAGCAGAATTTTATTTCCACTGCAAAAAAAACAACAACTTGGATTTGGTAACTTTGAACCCTTGCAGAGAAGCATAACCAGCTTAGCAGGGAAATTAGCAGCCTCATGATGTGCTGTGAATATAATTTCCCAGGCTCTGGTATTACTGTTTCATGAGAGATAAGCACATAGGAAATATTTGGCCCAAGACATTTTTTTTCCCTCTGCAGGAGAAAGGTTACTATGTGAAATTATTTCACTATCGCTCTTAGGGATTTGGTTTTATAGATTTCTTTAAAATTCGCTTTTTAGAGATTTATATATTGAGATAAGGATTGATAGTAGCTGGTGGAATGTTAAACCACTCTTTCTCTCTCCTAATAGGGGCTGATTTTCAGGTTCAAGTTCCTCATGCTTATCACCTTGGCCTGTGCTGCCATGACCATCATCTTCTTCATTGTTAGTCAGGTAAGTGGACCCTAAGAGGTCAGGGTGAGACTGTCCCTGGAGAGGCGCTTCTACTCTGCACAGAGAATTCTGCCCAGCTACTGGGAAAGGAGCAGGGAAGCTCTCATGCTTGGCAGCAGAGCAAGCCATATTTTCTAGGCTTCTTTCTGGGTCTTGTCATTATCTGGCCAGAAGTGGACTGAATTTTCCCTTTCAGTACAGGGGGAGGAACAATTGCTAAGTAAATTAACAGCCTGCAGCCATATTGAAGAGCACTTGTTTCATTTACTTCAGAGAATAAACTTTTCAAGCCCTGTAGCAGAACACCAGCAAGCAAGTATTAATTTGATTTGATCCTTATCTAGCATTAGCGTAGATCCTTTTATAGGCCATCAGCCATTCTTTTTAATAATTCTATTGCCACTTAAACATGAAATGAAATTCAAAAGTCCCCTTATCTCTACTGGTTATTTCCAAATCTCAACATTTTGCTGTGCTTCAAAATCTTAATGCGAATTATTTTTAAATATTGGTATCTTGTTTTTGGAAGTTACTATTTACATCTAAAGTATTATGTATCTTTCATTCATCTGAACTTCACAGAAATCCTATGGGTAGGATTTGTTATCCCAGTTTGCTAGAATATGAAATCTAGTGGCTGTAGAGACATATCTTACCTAATAATAGACTAACATGAAAATTGACCGCCCCTCCACTACGCTCACCAGCCAATCAGGAGAGTATGCAAATTAACCCAACAAAGATGGTTAATTTGCATATGTAGGCACGAAGTGGCGGAGCGAAGACTGAAGGCTCCGGCCAGAGCGAAGGCCTGGGTCCCAGGTGCCGGAGGAAAACTGGTGCCGGCAGCCAGGGGAAGGGAAGGCCTATTGCACGAAACTCTTCATGCAATGGGCCTCTAGTCCTATTTATAATGTTTTCGTGCAAATTAACCCAACAAAGATGGTTAATTTGCATATGTAGGCACGAAGTGGCGGAGCGAAGACTGAAGGCTCCGGCCAGAGCGAAGGCCTGGGTCCCAGGTGCCGGAGGAAAACTGGTGCCGGCAGCCAGGGGAAGGGAAGGCCTATTGCACGAATCTCTTCGTGCAATGGGCCTCTAGTCCTATTTATAATGTTTTCCACTTGGGTGGGACTATGGATGGATTACTTAAAAGTTCTAGGTTCAATTTTCTTATCTGTTAAATGGATGTAATAATAGAACACTGTAGAAGGTGGCTATAAGGATCCCATGAACTAATGTTTGCAAAATGCAGGTGTTGTGAGCATGCAGGCGTACCTTATGAATAGCAAAAAGTGTGAATGTTGTGCTAAAGGACCTAGACTAAGTTAGGGACCAGAACCCAGACCTTTTGACTATTTTTTTTTTTACCAGCTCCTCTGCCATCCCTGTATTTGGCCAAAATTGAAAATGTTAGGCATGCTCACAGAGCCTTAGGGCAAGACTTGCCCCGTTCTGCTAGCAAGTTTCCTTCCAGTACAGGGGTTCCTAACTTTTTGTGCCATGAACCCCTTGGGTACACTGGTGAAAGCTATGGACCTCTTCTTTGAACGTTTTTAAATGAGTAAACTAAAAAGCTTTGATTTTCAAAGGGAGTCAGATAGATAGATGATATATATGTGCAACTATACATAACTATAAGTGTAATTGATATGAAAATATGATTTCTATTGGTAACAAAATTATAGGCAGTGCTTCTATTATGGGGGTTTGTTTTCTCTAGTCATAATTGAAAGAAACAGTAACTTTCAATTAGAGACTGGTGAAAACAAAGATAGCATATTTTTCTCATTTCAGTTCATATACCCTTTGAATTCCATTAAGGACACCAAGTTAGGAGTCCCTAGAGTTCTGTTGGCCATGCCCACTGGGCAGTGTTAGTGTTGCTCCTGAAGGCTGAAGTGAATGTGGGGGGAAATAACGAATATATACATATATATCTTCATAAGATCTGTTCACCACATCTGCTGTGACCTACAACAGTGCTGTGCTTGTATCAGACTGTTTGTTTATAAAACCTTGGAAACTTCATTCTCCACTCCTGATGCAGTAAAAATATTTCAAATTCTGAGTGAGTTTTTTATTCACCTAACTGAGGCTCAAACAAGTTGTGTGGGAGGCCCGACTTATCCCTTGGCTGAGTCCCTCGTGTGACCAAAATGCTTTGCAGCCCTGCAGTGCCTTGGTCATGTGCTTGTTAATACAGCCAGTTCTGCCAGCCTGAGAGAGCAGCGTGCACCGCTTGGAGATCCGGAACCTCACGTAAGATGAGCTGAGAAATAAAAGGCAGTACCAAGATATGCTCCCAGGACGGGCACATTTGGTTCTAACACATGCTCCTGCCACTTTAGAAAGCTGCAGTCAGTCTCCCATAGCCCCACCCCCTTCCTCTCTTGTCTCTGCAGAGTCCCTGCTCCCTGAAGTCAAGAAGGGACATTGGGCTGATGTTTAAGGCGGTTATATGTTGTCCGAATTTAACCTTGTACATGTTTAATGACTGCACCTTTTTAGAGCAAAGGAGGTCAGTCTTCCAAGGAGCAGAGTCTGTGGCTTTTCTCTTAAGAAAAAGATTAATATTCCATCGCCCCAGTATTTTCTAACACAGCTCCAGCCTGTGGCTGGCTTTTTATATCTGCTGTGACAGTCGGTCCAGAGTGGATTTGAACTCTAAGGGGGTAGCAATGAGGTCTTTTGGATTCCATTAGCTGCTCACATTCCTCCTGCTGGGTGGCTTTTTTATAAAGGTTTATTTATAGATTTAAGACGTTTTCAGGCATAACTCTCAGTGTCCCAGGTACTGTATTAATATAGTGATCAGAGGATTTATTTTTTAATGTCATGTTGGAATGTTTCAGCAATGAGCTCACCTGAAAGAAAATCTACTGGGTAACTTTTTGAAATAGATCCCAGCCTTAGGTAAAAGGAATGTATTAAAACTTCCATTATACACTCGGGCTTGCTGGGAGAGCTTGCATTTAAGCCCCTGAAATATAATGCGAGGGGTTCTCGCCAGGACATTGAAGCTGGAGGCTAGGAATGAAAGGCCGACGGAAGCTGTGGAATGCAGTGACCTTGAGGCTTTGTAGCTGGGCACTGAGGTGCAGTCTTTTAACGCCTGCCATTTTAATGGCCTCAGTCCTAGCAACCGAGAGATGGCACATCACAGTGTGGTATTTTAGCCCCTTCCCTCTGGAAAAGAAAGAGGCGTTCCATTTAGGGGTGACAAGCAGTAGGGAACAGAAGTGCAATGCAGGGGAGAAGGTCACCAACCTTCACTAAGGGAACCCCCAGGTGCCTGACACGCAGGTCAAGCCATGAGCAGCAAACTCCCAGAGAGCCTGTCCCCAGTTCTTCTTCTTTTGTTTGTGTGATCACTTCATTCTGTTACTTGCAGAGGAAATGTTTCCAGTAAGAGAGCCTGCGTCTGGGATTTGGAAATCTTGTTGTGAAGTGGAATGCTGGTTGTCAAGACTACTGGGTGTAAAGGATTTGACCTTCACTTGGCTCTAGGAGTATAATTGGGTGGTTTCACACAAAAGTAAATTGTTCAAATGTTAAATCAGGAAAAGCAGGAACCTTTAGAAAGAGGATGTATACAGAGGGGAGATGATTTTCTCTTTTTGTTTTTTGTTGGGGCTACCTGATTTTTCTCCCCGAAAGTTAAAGCAGGGTGACTGTCACCTCTCTGCGTTGGCATTAATGAGACTTTTGGATTTACAAGGCTGCTCTGTGGAGGCTGCTGATTGTGGTGCATGGTGGTGGGAATGTGTTCAGAGCCCAGGATGGCTCAGGCATGAATAATTGAGGGAGGAGAGGGGAAAACACAATCGAGTCCCCAACAGCAGAGTGACACTGTATACAATTTATTTATGCAAATTCAATTCTTTGCCCTCAGCAGGAAATAACACATTTAGAGATTACAAATTAAGTAGTATGGGTAATTCTGCAACTCTATCTTGACGTGCATGTGTCTTGAAGCAAACGTGAGAGTTGCGCATGAAAATGCTATTTCCTCAGCTCCTGTGGGCCCCTCCGAGTATGAGCATGTCATTTGAGTGGTTCTGCTATAAAATTGTATTTTGCATATACATCCAATTTATTATATGCCATGCATTATATCTAGGATATATAGTGCATATGTTTTACTGTACAGATTTGAATAATCACACCTGAGTGTACATATACTAATTAACCAGTGTGCATCATGGCCAATTAAGTGAATTTTCAAAAGAAATTTGACCTTATACAATAGTTGCCTCATAATTTAGCTTAAGAGACCCACCCCTGTTTAAGATAATATTCCTACTCTAGTGTTGTATAATGGCTAAGTAGATCTTCTTTTGGAGTCAGAGCAAGGACTTTCTGGCTGAGCCGTTTTAGGCAAGACATTCTGTGTCACAGTTTACCCAGGTGTTGAATAGAAATTTTAACCACCTATTTCATAGATTTGTTATTGAAACAAATACCTTCCATGTAAAATTCTTAGTGTACTTCCTGACAAACCACTAGCATTAAATAAATGTTAACTATTCTTATCCTTGCTATTATTTTTTAAAATCTTAGCTTTGCTAATACCTATTAACTATTTTTTTAAATTGACCTAAAAGGATGCAATAGGCATAAATGTTTCAATGAAATAACACTTATTACCTATTGACCTCTTACTTTTAAGTGCAATTATTGGGATTTGTGAAGGACTGCGGTATATTCTTCTGACTCTTCAGTCAGATATTTCCTAAGCGTGACTGTTTCTATCCCCCTTTCCATGTTTCTGCACATCCCTATCCTTTTGCCCATATTCCTTCAACAAACATCTGTCTGTTGAGCACCATTGTGTACCAGGCACACAAGTGGGTGTTTTTTTTAAATCCATCATGCCAACCCCAGCAAGAATCAACTTCAGCAGAATTGTCAATCCTGAGTATTTCCAGCTTATGCCACAGGAAGTAGGCTCTCTGACAGGTCCCCTATCTTAATAGAGTAGAAGAGGATAAGAAGTGTTTGACCCTGTTTTACCTGTACTTCTCCCAGCCTAGCCACCCCTCCTTAATCGCATAGAGAGGAGCTCCCTTTGCAAGGACAGCAGGTACATGTGGTGTTTGACCCTGTTTTACCTGTACTTCTCCCAGCCTAGCCGCCCCTCCCTTTGCAAGGACAGCCGGTACATGTGGTATATGCTACATGGTTCCGGAAACTATCTTAAGGCTTCCTCTCCCCTTCCATTAAAAAATTATCTTAAGTATCTCTAAGTACTATGACTCTTATAAAGTTAGGCTATTCTGTACTTAAAAATAAGAAAAAGTGACATTTGGAGACCTTTCTACAAAGTAAGCCCTAAATAGCTTGAATGTTGGTGCATTGCTCCAAAATCAGTAATGGTTAAGAAATCCTTCTTTGGCCAAAACCTTTCTGAGCACGTCATATAAAATGAATTATTTCCCCCAAATAAATAAGAGTTCATGGTGGTGGTTTGTTTCACAGAAATGAAAAAAATTATATATCGCCAATGTCAAATTAAAACTGGTAAAGTCTGTAATCACTTAATCTGGTTACAGGAAGAAATACCTGTCATTACAGCTGTGCTATGCCTGGGGCCCTAGTGCCGTGGTCGGCAAACCGCAGCTCTCGAGCCACATGCGGCTCTTTGGCCCCTTCAGTGTGGCTCTTCCACAAAATACCACATGCGGGCGCGCACATACAGTGCGATTGAAACTTCGTGGCCCATGCGCAGAAGTCGGTATTTTGTGGAAGAGCTGGTATTTTGTGGAAGAGCCACACTGAAGGGGCCAAAGAGCCGCATGTGGCTCGAGAGCCGCAGTTTGCCGACCACTGCCCTAGTGGATTATGGGTTATAAAGAGGGCACCAAAGGAATATAGACCCACGGCTTCAAAAACAGGAGGTGAAATCAACCTGTTTGTTAGTCATTAGTAGTTAGATATGGCTTGCCCTCTTACACTTTAGCTCTTAGAAGAAGGGGCTCTTTAGGGATAGCTTATACAACCTCGCCTCATTAAACTATCACAGGAATATATGTCCAATACTTTCTTTTACTCCCATGTAAGATTTCCTGTGGCAGGCAGAAGCGGTCAAAATCATTTCATTGATCTCACAAATCACCAGTCATTCACCTCAACAGTTCTGTTGACAATTCTTCGTATAACCCATATGTCATCAGACAGCTCTTAAAACAATTACCAAGTCATTAACATAGACAAAAGCAGCCTCAAAACATTCTTGCAGGATTGTAAAGCACATGAAAGCTCATAATTACTTTTGTGAGTGACCTACAAAGAGAGGCAGGATATAAAAAAGATTTATTGAGTGTTTACTGCATGCCAGGAAATTTCTAGAAATATTTTTACTTAATTCTCCTCAGTAACCCTGCAAGTTCTTCTTTTGCACTGATGGAAACTAAAGTCCAGAGTCTTAGTCTTTACTTCTCTTACATTAAACAGAGTACATGGTGGAGGCTGGATTTGGATCCAGATCTCGGCCGTGCTTCCCCTCACCGCCCCTCTAGGGAAAACTCCCTCTGAGGATTCACTTGCCTTCTCTGAGCCCCAAGGCACATCAGGGACTGAAGATATGGCAGTAAACGAACCAGAGCTGGCCTCTGTCTGTGGTCAGTTTACAGCAAGCTGGGAAGACATACCAGAGGAGGAGTTGTACTTGTGGATAAGGGTTAGGCTCAATCATAGTTTCTTTAAGTGAGGGATAATGGTGTGCTGCTGTTTTAGGAAGAGACACTTCCCAGGTGATTCTGGTGTGCAGCCAAACGACAAGCAGACTTTGTGCCCGACACATATAGTAAGCCCTTAATTAATATGTTCAGAGTGTGATTCAGATAAAAAACTGGAGTCCTACATCGCCCTACACTTTTCCCACGTGTAGAAGAGACTTGGTTTTTGTGTTGGTTGGTTCCCGTGTTGGTGTTGTGTTTCTTCTCGGCTCTAATTCCGTGTCACTGTCTTCTCTCCACAGGTGACCGAAGGCCATTGGAAGTGGGGTGGTGTCACAGTCCAGGTGAACAGTGCCTTTTTCACAGGCATCTATGGGATGTGGAATCTGTACGTCTTTGCTTTGATGTTCCTGTACGCACCATCCCATAAGAACTACGGGGATGACCAGTCTAATGGTGAGTGCCAGACTCTTTAGTGTAATTTTATTTAGGATAAGTAGGCTTCTGTCTCTACAAGACTTAAGGCTAGCAAAGGCTCTGGCTTTCCCAAACTTTCCCTCCTCTGAGTGAGAGTGAGCACCCTAAGGACTGCAGAACCATAAGACAAAAAGCCAGCACAAGGCAAATACTTCTTTAAGTTCTCATTTTCAAAAATACCTTGAAAATACATTGGGAATATTATATTCTAGTCTAAAACATGTCCCAGTGTTAGTACAAAAATTAAATTTGCTTTCCTCAATTTTTTATTTTTATTTATTTTTTGCAAAATTGACTGTTGAAAAGTATACCACATTCACTTCACTCTTCTGGTATGAGAAGCGTGATCCTAAGATATCTGGTGGAGTGGGACTGGGCCCTGGGCGTTGAAGAGGGAGCTGGCTTCATTTTTCTCCTGCTCACTTTTTCTGCAAGGCTGTTGACATGTGTCCAAACTAATAGCTATTCACCAGACCCCACAGCCTGTTTCTCCTTAAGTACTGGTATTGCTGTCTCTGATGTTGATGCTGCAAGAGCCTTAGAGAACTTAGCCAGTCTGGTCATTTTATAGATGAGGAAACTGAGGCCCATAGAAGGGAAGGGCTTGCCTGAGGTTTCTCAACCAGCCACGGCAGAAACAAATGAATATTACTGTCTATGGCAGAGCTGTTAACTTGGAATTCGTGGCCTGGTACACATCTGTCCTGATAGCTCATTTTTTCTTGGGATGCTTGATTTATTGTTTCATTCCACACTTATTCTTTCATCTTTTTCCCACTTGCTTTACCCAAGCCACGTACTTGCTATTACCCAAATATAAGAAGCTCTTCCTCAAATCAGAACCAGTACCCTCCACTCTGCACCAGAGCAGAGACCAGAGTTCAAGGTCTGCCTGTCCACCATGGCACCAGGGGTTGGCCTTGCTCATAGGAAGTGCTCAGTGAGTGTGTGGTGAATGAATAGATTTATATCCTGCCTTCATCTGGGCGTAACAAAACCCTACCTATCTCTTAGGCTTATTCAAAATGCTTCTTCCTTCTTGAAACCTTTTCTTGATCACACCAGTTGGAGTTCAGCAAATTAGATTCAGTAGAATATTGTTGCTGTGGGATGTTAATAGTCAAATACATTTGATAATCATTGGGTTTTTAATCAGCATCAGTGGGGTTTTTACTAAAAGACATCTTAATGCCTTTAGCACATTAATATGTACTGTAAGTCATTTAAAATGGGTGGGGGGTAACAGCATTTCCCCAAGTGATTACATCATTTCGTCCTGGAACCCTAATTCTAGGCTGTGTATTTTCTGGAACTGGCGTCCTAGGGAAGAAGCCTGGGGAACAAGGTTACGCTTCTCACACGACACTCACTGTGCAGCTGTGCATGAGCTCGCCTGGCCCTTCTCACTCCTGTTGGAACACTAACTCCTTAAGGGCGAGGACTGGTTAAGGTGCTTTGAAAATGTCGAGTGAATTAATGCTTTAGAAATAAGAGTTCTGAATTAGCTTTCATATTTCACAGATGAGCGATCTTGAAAGTGGGGTTAAAGGAGGTGGATGGTGACATGAGAAATGGGGCGAGGAGGGGAGGCCTCTGTGCTGAGGGTCAGCGGTAGAGGAATGGTCTCAACCAGCATCTGTCTCCGGCACTACACCTGCCACTCTGTGCAAGAGCATCCTAGACCTCAGGCCTGCCTTCCTTCCTGGTCCTCAACTTCATGTCACACTCAGTATCAGGTTTACCTTTGGCCATGGGTCCTGGGCAAGAATAAAGACTTTAAAAAAAATTATTGTTGTCACTATTACAGATATCCCCCATTTCCCTCCTCTTTGCCCACCTCCACCCAGCTCCCGCCCACCCCCCTCTCCTAGTCTTCACCGCACTGTTGTCTGTGTCCATGGGATATGCATATATGTTCTTTGCTAATCTCTTCACCTTCTTTTACCCAGACCCTCCCACACCCGTCCCCTTTGACATTCGTCAAGTCTGTGCCATGAATCCATGCCTCTGGTTCTATTTGGTTCATCAGTACCTTTCGACTTACCTGCCCAGCTGCCCAACTCTGGGTTTGATTGACTTCCTCTCTAGAAAGCTTGGGAGCTAGGCAGCATTCACTTCCCGCAGCTTCCTTTCCACTGCGACCAACTCTGTTTTACTCTATGCATGGCCTGTGGAAGCATGCAGCCTCTCCAACAGGGGGCCTCCACAGCGCCCGCAGGAAGGCATTCCGGGCTTGTGAACAAGAATCTTGATTTCATGTCATGGACATCCTGTTGGACTTTGGCACAAAGCACATGGGCCTGTTCTTGACTTGAGAATATTAAGCAGGAATCCAAAAGATGGAGCCTCCTGCCTTCCGGGGAAATTCCACATAAAAGCAATGGCTGGACTTCCCAGGATGTGGGAACGCTCATTCGAATGGGTAGGAATTATGGAGTGCTGACCTGTGCTTCATGAACACACACTGTGCTGGTTGTTTTTGCTCTATGGCTGTTGGCAAACTGCTTCACTCCCCTGTGCATCACTTCTCCCGATTGTAAGTGATTTCCCGGAGTCTCATGGAACCATGAAATTCTATGGTTTTCTTTCTTCCTGATAGCAAGGAAGGGGCAGAGGAGCACCTCCTGTCATAAAGTCGCAGCCCAGGGCGTGATTCTGTCACAGGTAAGGGGTCTCCAAACACCGGTGAGACTTTGCCCAGCTCTGGCACTCTCAGGCACATGGGAGGCCAGAGCTGGAGCCACCCCTGCAGAGACAGCATGGCTGCCTGCCCCCTGCAGGGCCAGGTGGCTGAATTGCAGCCAGGTGTTAGGCAGCTCCCAGTAGGACTTCTTTCCCTGCATGACGGCTGCCCTCCTGGGCTTGCAGCCTTGCAGTTGAGAATAGCACTTGATCTTTTTCTCATCTTATGTTTGTTGTTGTTGAAGACAGCTTGAACTGCAATTTCACAGAGCTCAAAAGCTAGTTCTCGGCCCTGGCCGAGTAGCTCAGTTGGTTAGAGTGTCATCCTGATATGCCAAGGTTGTGGGTTCGATCTCTGCTCAGGGCACATACAAGAATCAACCAATGAATGCACAGATTAGTGGAGCAACAAATCGATATTTCTCTCTTATTCTCTCTCTCTCTCTCTCAAATCAATTTTAAAAAATAAAAAAAGCTAGTTCTTAAGAGGAGGTCACCTCCCCTGAATCTTTTACCAAGTGGTGTTTGCAAATGCTCATGGTTGTTTTAGATTGTCTGGGACATGCCACTGGCATTTAGTGACCGGGTTCTAGGTATGTTCAATGTCCTGCATTGAGCGAAGCAGTTCCTTGAGTGAAGAACTGTCCTGCCTCTAATGTAACAGGGCCCCTGTTGAGAAACATCCTCCAAGCAGTTTAGTGGGCAGACCCTTTTGAGACCCTGTCTGATCATAAACACAAAGGAGACACCATTTAGCAGGTCTGCGGTGGTGACATGATCAACTGTGACTTCAGGGCAGCCCATGAGCCCTGGGCAGCTGTTGGCACCCTTGTCCCTCATGGTGCTGTGAGCTGAGCCCCTGGCAGCTGGTGGCACCCTTGTCCCGCATGGTGCTGTGACTGTGCCCCTGGCAGCTGGTGGCACCCTGTCCCGCATGGTGCTGTGTCTGTGCCACTGGCAGCTGGTGGCACCCTTGTCCCGCATGGTGCTGTGAGCTGAGCGTTGGAAGAGGCTCTCCATGTTGGGTTCTCTGATCATTTTTCTTCTCTGCTCCTTTCACTTTTCATCTCTTCATCTGCCGCCAAGCCACACTCTGTAGCCTAGGAATTATGGTGTCTTTGCCAAGATTTTGGAGCTCCTTTGAAAGAGCTGGTTTGGAATGTTACATGGAAACCTAGAAAATGAACACTGAGGGTGATATACTGTAGTTTTAAATTCTCTGGATGACATTTCTTTTCCCCCCCACCCCAGCTTATTCATGCTCCTTTCCCTTTCTCTTGGAAAGTTTTTATTTTTAAATTGGCTTGGACTGCTCTCCCTACCCCTTGCTTTTATGGTCCAGAGCCAAAACTTCAGCTCTCTCTTGCTGTGGAGAATGAATCACAGGTGTGCCATGCTTCTTGCCTGCATGAGGTGGATCCTGGATAGGCCTCTGGAAAAAGATAGACCTCTGCCAAAGAAAGAACCTTGGAGAAGGGCTGTTTTGTTTGGGAGGTGGAGAAGGATGCCGAGAAGTGACAAGAGGAAGTGGGAGCAGAGAGCATAGACGTTTGCTTCTCCCTTTTGGTCAGGGAATGGACAGAGGAACAAAGTGGACAGCAGGTGCAAGCGAGGGTCAGTTTCCAAAGAGCATTTTCTCTCATATATTTGTTTGCCTTTTATTGCTTGCGTCCAGTGGCCCTTAGAAATGAACCACTGAGCACCTCAGTATCAGCACTGTGCTGGGTGAGATAAGGTGGTGTGATGTAAAGCCCACAGACAGTCCTTGTTCCCAGAGAGCTAGACGTTTGGGATGGGAGACAAGACTTCCACAGCTGCCTCCTGAAACACGGGTGCGGCAGGACAGCGCCCAGCCAGCACGTTCTCGTGTCTTCAGTGGCTGGTTGGTGCTGCAGGCATGTGGAGCTCTGACTTCCTTCTTGTTGGTTGACTTACCTCAGTGCAGTGGTAAGTCATGCATGGTTTTGCATATGTGTGCGCGCCTGTGTGCATGGATATGTTTATATCATCATTTTGTGTGTGTACATGTACACATAAATATGCATGTGTTTTTTTTTTTACTTTAACAAAGGTATTTTAGACCTCGTTCTTGCAAGGACCACTCACGTTTTCTGCTCTGCTCTTGCTGCCTTTTCATTAAAATCGTTCTTTTTTCCTGTTCCCATACCAATCTGTGAGTCACTATGGATATCTTCGTAGGCGGAAACAGATTTCAGCTGATGCTGGTCAGCCCTTAGCTTGGAGGGAGGGCACGGTCTCCCAGGGATACGACATGAAGGCCCTGTACACACAGCCAA